GGTCACTAAAAAGAGCTGCCAGATGTCAAGGAGGTCTTGAGAAGAAGACTGGCAGTTTGCATGGCTGTTAGGGAGCTAAGGGTCATTGTGAAGAGTATGTTGGGCTAGAAGGATCTTCAGCCTGAACTGATATGGCTTTTCTCCCTTTTTATGTTACATTCTTCACTGCAGCACTGGAAGATGGCTCTATCTTATCAAGAATAAGTGTTGATATCAGCTACCATGTACTTCCTTATGTGAAACCATCAGGTTCCAGCTGTTCTGGTATTTGCCCGTTTGAATCTGAGGATCTTAGCTTCTTTTACTTTTTATCCACCCTGGAGATCAATAGGAAAGAGCCATCACTTGCAATATCTGCTTATCCAATACAGAGCAAACTTACCTACAGACTTGAACACCTTCAGGGCCTGGAAGAGATCTGGACCCAGGTATAGTCCATGTTGCTGTATTGCATTTGTGTGGCCAGGTTTTGGCAGAGCAGGGTGACAATTGAGACAGCTTTTGGGAAAAGCTGACAGATGCTTCCCCAAAGTCTGACAGAGATCGTGCTAAAGCAGCTGTGACCCTGTCACCCATGGAGGACCACATGGACCCAGAGATCCACCTGCAGCCCGAAGGATCCATGCCAGGGCATGGAGCAGGCAGGTTCCTGAGAGGAAGCTGTGAACTCATGGAAAGCCTGTGGCAGAGCAGGATCCTGGCAGGAGCCTACAGACRTGGAGAGAAGAGCCTATACCAGAGTGGTAGGACTTGTGACCCTGCAGGGAACCAACATGGAGAAGGCTGTGCCTGAAGGACTGCACTCTACGGAAARGCACCCATACTGGAGTAGTTCCTGAAGAATTGTAGCCCATGGGAAGGACTCAGGCTGAAGAAATTCATGGAGAACTGTCTTCCATGGGAGGGACCCCACAYTGGAGTAGGGAAAGGACTCCTCTCACTAAGCAGAGAGAGGAACAACGTGTGATGAACTGACCATAACCCCCATTCCCTGCCTCCCTGCACCACTGTAGAGAGGAAGCAGCTCCCAGGAAGGACAGAGAGGTGGAGAGAAAGGTTTTTTTTTTTTAAGATTTGTTTTACATTTCAATATCCTGCTCTGATTTTGATTGGTATTACATTCTATTAATTTTCCCAAGTCAAATCTGGTTTGTCCATGGCAGTATTCAGTGAGGGATGTGTCCCTGTCCTTATCTCAGCTCTGGAGCCTTTAGTTATATTTCACTCCACTGTCCAGTAGCAGAAGGGAGTGATAGAGCACCTTTGGTGGGTACCTGACATCCAAGTAATTGTTGGTAAAGCCTTGGTAATTATTTAATGTCATTTATGCCAAATTTATTAACTTAATTAATGCCCAGGGCATTTGTGCATAGTTTTCATTAAACAGTGCTTTATCAGTTGCTTTAAGTCAGTTGTGGTGGTTGCAAAGTGCTGTGGATGGCTGTGCCATCCCTCACACTGGCCACAGGAAGCCAGGAGTTATTGCTTGACATGGCCACAGCCAAATTTCGCAGTTTGAGGAGACTGTAAAGTAGAGAAATTATAGAATTAGACAAGGGAAACATGCTTTCAATGTTCACCCTCCTTTGTTGTGTGTCTGGTTTTGTGCTCTCTGTTGGACAGTGTCAATATTGCCAGCCCCAAGCTCTCACTCTCATCTGGGAGCCAAGTCCCAAGAAATCATGATATCCATTCAATGCTAAAGGATTTCGTTTGGGTTTCTTAAGACAGTCTCCTGGACTGTGAACATGGCTGCTGATTTCTGAGTCTCCTAATGCCCCCTYCCCTCTAGTGAAGTTTATTGTGGGGTAAGTAAGACTTATCCCAAAAAAACTTTGTATTTATTTGAACATTAGATGGGGTTCCTAACTAGTTCTGTGCAGATAGGTCCTAGGTTGCTGGAAAGGCTTTCAGTAATAACATGAGATTGGTACATCTTTAACAGCTGAAAACATTCTCTGTTCTGTAGGTAAATTACTTGGCACTACAAGATTACAAATACTTCGACATATAGGGGGGAAAATACACAAATTTTCTTTATAATAGAGTGTTTCACTAGAGCCCATTTATGTCCCTTTTTGAATTAAATGCCTGGGCATTTAATGTGAGACTGGACATTGGTGACTTCCCGGGTGCAAAGACCAGGGGAAGAATAGACTTGAGCTTTCTTTATGTGCTGCTCCTTGTATTATGTTTATGAAGCCAAATGTGTAAAAAGCTGAAAACTAGCAATGTAAATTTCCTAAATGCCTTTAGAAAACCAAGAACTCAACCACTGCCAAGAGAAACATGACTTCCTGAAACTGGACAGCATTGCTTGGGTTTCCTTTGAAGAAAAAAAAATAGGATGAAAAAAAGGAGAGCAAGCCAAATGCCTGAAATATGTAAGACAGGGCAATACAGGACTTAAGGGGAAGCTGCATAGGAAGCAAAGCAAAGCCCAAAATAAAGAGCAGGAATGGAAAACTAAAAATAACAAACAGGAAAGTGTGACACAGCTGTGAGGGCTCTGGTGTATTCTCCCCCAGCATTGTACCTTTTTTTTCAGGAACATACTAATATTGTGTTTGGATTTCAATGGCATTCCAAACCATTATTTGTTCTTCAAAAATAGATGTTTCTCTTGTGAGGAAGAAAGATATTTTCAAGTAACACTCATAGGATTTCAGTCACTCCAGTTTATCAAAAAACACTTGTGAGTCTCAGTGTTAGCAAAGCAGAAAAACTGCATCAATAATGTAATTTCATGAAAAATTAGTGTCTTCTTAGACTAATGAATATAATCTTATGCTTTTAATTTCAGTKGAGATTTTACTTGATAGCTTTTGAAAGTAGGGAGTGGACATATTAAACTGAGGTGCAACAACTTTGGAAGCACAGTGGATGGGAAAGGATCAGGGAGGATCAAGAGCATCATGTACTAATAAAATTAAGGAAATCTGTCTTTTTCTCTATCTAAACACAAGTTTGTTTGTTTACACAGAGCATTTTGCTGGTCCAGAAAGGCAGCACGGGGAATATGGGGTTGTCAGGACTGTGGCTGGACCCCAGCTGGTGCCTGCAAAAAAGCCAAGCTGTCCAGACATGGGTGCCACACAACCTCCAAACCATGACCGAGGCACCCAGCACACACACAGAGGTCACTGACAGCTGCTGCAAAGGAGAGGGGAAGGAATACTTCTGGGTTTGGAGGTCTTGCTCTGTTAACAACTGTTTGATTGCTGAACTCACGCACCCTGAAATAATTAAGCCAAGCAGTTGAGYTGTGCATGGTCTCTACCCATCCAGAAAATAGATGGTGCCACTTTTGGAAGAATAAAAAAGCCTGAACACACCAGTTTGCCAGTCCCAGGTTCCTTGGACACTCACAAATCATAGTGAAAACCACATTAAGATGTGCCAAAGTGCAGATTGTGGTGTCTGTCAAGTTATCAGTCCAATTTGTAGAATTCCTATTTTTGGCTGACAAAACAAGAACAGGAAATATTTACCAATTTTGCAGGTGTCAGGAAATATTTTCTAAGTGCTGCTGGAACTCAACAGTCCATTTCAATAGATAGCAAGCATCTACAGAAGTGATAGTAAATATATTTTAATTTAAAATATGTACTTTGATGTGTTTGCCCCAATATCTGTGTCCTCGCAAATCAAAGTGGCAAATTCATATTGTTAATCACACTATGGTGATTAGGCAGCAATAAACCTCACAATACTAGTGTGAATGTTTTATATATGAAATCATACATTAGAATGCATTTAAGATGTTTCTCACAGTTGATGTTGATAGGGCTCTTCTTTGTTAAAAGTTCATCTACACTGGAAACATATTTATTGCATATTATTTGATTTGTGGATGAAATACATCTAAATGTATTTCAGGCTTTTCTATTCTGTGTATTTCAGACACCACTCAAAAATATTTAATTGTACATCATTAGAACTGTAATGGTTTCTGCAATCATACAATAAAGTCTAATATATAAACAGCATCACAGCACAGTGTCATCTCACATTAGTTAAAAAATTATTGTCATTGCAAATACTATGTAGCTTACAGCTCAGTAGCTGAGAAAGTAACAGCTACCTTACAGAGATGAGGCCTATTTGCCAAACATATTCCCACTGGAAGTAATATATGGCCCCACTAAAAACAAATCTAGATACTACATGACCAGACCACATTCTATGCTGAACCATCTCATGACTTTTACTTCAGGAGTAGTAGTGGACTTGGCAGTGTTAGGTTAACAGTTCGATTCAAGTGATCTTAAAGGTCTTATTCAACCTAAAAAATTCCATGATTCTATGGATCTATGATCATTTGTATTATTTCTTATCCCAATGTCACTGGTAGCAGTATGCAGATGTTTCAAACAATAAAGGACAAAATTTGCTTATACTATAATTTCATCCTTAAGTCTATTCTCTGTTCATCAATCTCTCACTGGAGCAGCAGAAGAAAAGCAAAAGCATTTTATAAATTTGATGAAAAGGAGTAGAAATCTTCCAAAAATATTTTCAAGTAATTCACCTCCATAATCTCTTTTCTCCTGACTTTCTGGRTGTGGATTCACAGGTTACCCCTTTGTTATATATGAAACAGTCTGAAGGAGTTGCAGGCTCTGCTTCAGGGCTAAATAGTCCCTGGTAGAGGGATGGCCAGGCCAGAAAGATGACTCCCAAACCCTTCCTGTACAGAGATGGGCCAAGGAGTGGCTGTTCTGAGTAGGTAGCTAGGATCCAGTCGCTTTGTTTTGGGGATGAAGGTGGTTGGAATGGGATGGAAACAAATCATTCCGGACATGGGCCACCACTCAGCTTCTGCAAGTGTGAATGGTCCCAAAAAATTGCTGAAATACATGCAGAGAATGTGAAACTGTTTCTGTGGATTTTAGAGCAAAAAGTGTACCTAATCTGCATGCACCATGGCTGTGCCACCACAGCAGGCTTGCTATGTCATTAACAGATAGACGCAATAGACAGTAATGTTTTCAGTTGTTTGTGGGGTTTTTATTGAACAATAATAATATTACACTTTTTAAAACCAACTTGCTTATTAGATTTACATTCAAGAACTCATAATGTCATTTATGACACGGTTGCAAAATAATAATGTATGCAATATTTACTACATTCTTTAAATATTTCTCATCAGTCTGCTGGAAGACTGTGGGTTTGATCCTGCTTTCACTGAAATCAAGAAAAAATTATATTTGGTATCAGTAGATTAAAATCAATACACTTGCTTGTAAATAGCCCAAGATAATGTTCCCTCTCAGACCCTGTTGTTCATTACAGTTAAAAATGTGGTATTAAGCTAGTTTGAGATTTATGTTTATGCRTCTCCAATTATCACGGCAAGGGAACCTGCACTTCTATCCTGACATTTGGATGTCTACCGCTGTCATCAGCCTCTTGTTGCAGATCAGCATGATTCATGTCTGCTTTCCCAGGTGAAAGCATCCAGCTTYCACGAATGTTGACTTTGGATCAGCTCTTTAAGGACATTAAAGTTTCTGTTGTTCATAGTTTTAAAAGTATGCTCTCAGATCGTGAACTAATCTCTGGCTGCTGTACTGTGTGTTCCTTCTTTTACTGCAGTCATTGTAAAGCTCACGTTGATTTCAAAGGAAATATTAAAATCAAGCCACATTTCCAGTGAGAGTGCTGGCATTACAAGGCAGTTCCTAAACTCATGGAATCCAGGTTTGCTCTGACACAGTGATGTTAATTTTCATTATCTGTGGATCTGGTTGTTTCCAGACATTTTAGCAGACTCATCTCAATGGTGATTTTTGACACACATTTATTATCCAGTTTTGTATGAGGGACTGCCTGTTCCTGTAATGCTCCAGCACATGAAAGCTTTTCTTCTGGCTGAAACRGGACCACTTGCTCATGCAACTGGGAAACAAAGGACTGGGTACCAAAATACTGCAGTCTGTGGCTGCACTACGACTCGCTGAGGGTCTGCATCTACCCTACCCTGGATCAAATAAACTCGCCATGAGTCATATCTGGGCCATAGCCAGCAGTGAAGATGGAAAGTATGAAGGTCCTTTTGCTGACCTTTCACCACTCTTCCCCAAGAAATGCAGATGTCACCTTAATGACACCAGCTAGTTGGTTTATAGAAACATATATATTTAAATAATGATAAGCAGCTTCTTTTGTTTCAGATCCCCTTCTACAAATCGGTATGATTTACCAATCTGCTGTTCCTATGTACAAAATTTAACTTTAGAAATACACCTAAATACAATATATGTCTGCAGTGTCTTGCCATAGTTATTCACAATGCATAAACTGAAATGCTGGGAGTTTTCTCACTGAAGAAAGGCATATTGATCTCTGAAGAATTGTCACCAAACTTCCAAAAACCAGAAAATCTATAAGAACTAATGTTGGTTTATTGATTTCACATTGTTGTGCTCCTGTGCTATTACTTTTGAGATTCAAAGGTGTTGCTTTATATGCGGAATGTTGTTGAAATGTGTTTCTTGTTGGCTCCTCGTCAATAGTATCGCTCTCCCAAACTGTCCCTKTAACTCAGTGAGAGCTTTCCCAGCCTCAGGCTGCAAGAGTCAACCTCTGACATTATTTATATGATCATGTTGGGTTTTCAGTATTACTATACATCCAAAAAGCCACAATACATTTCTCTTTTCAAATACTTATCAAAACAAATATCAAAAGTCATATACACTGTACAGTCTATTTTTAAGTAAACATTTTTCTCATTAGAAACAGGACACATTTGACCTTCAGAGATTACATTTCCATATGTTATAGATCTATTTTGTTCTTAAAGTGTGTTGTTGCATATGCAATAACCTGTGAGAAATGCATTCTTTGAAAGTCTTAGGAGAGTAAGTAAATATCAGCGAGGATTTAGCCATTTCATTACTGGAGAGCGAACAGCTTTCTCTTTAACAATTTCCTCTTTTACAGAATTTCCATCTCCTGATGCCATGTCATTGTCTGAAAAAAAAACCACAAAAATAAAGGTGGGTTTTATGAACATGAATGCTTTAAAATATTGTCCTGCAGTAATGTCCCTGGTTCTAGGAATACTTCAGAAAATTCTTAACTGACAGTTTTGCAGAAAACTCACTAAATTACCTCCAATTACCTAGCTTCAAATTTACTTTTTATACCAAATTAAGGCATAAGTCATACCTGTTTTCTAGTATTAGAAAGCATAAGGCTGACGATTTGAGTTAGTTTCCAGTTCTGACTGCAACAGTCCCTCCAGTGTAATATGGGACCAGGCAACATATCCACAATAACTACAGCGATAAATTAAACTCCCCTGCAGCTATTCTCTGACTGAGGCCAGCTGGCATGGAATAGTGCATGCCACTAAACTCTCTTACTCTCCAAAAATAGGTAAAAGATATTCCGTTGGTCAGTCACTGGCTGACACTGATTTCTGAGCTCTGGCTAAGGTTTTTGGCACAGCTAGCTGGCCTAAGACAAAGCATGCTGTCCACTGCCCTACTGTTTGACCATGAAAGGAGTCTAATTGCAATGTACAGGAGCATACCCTGACACCTTTCAGTTTGCTAGGGTGCAGGTAGATATACGGTCTTTGTAAAAGATACRGGTTCGAAACTTACATGTTTAAAATACAGAAGCATTTACAGCTGTTTCAATTCACTGAATATAGCACTTAGATGCTATAGTTGCTTCTGAAGACCACTTTTAACAAAACTCTGTGTCACCACCCCACAGAGTACTAACTACTTGTAGTGTTTCTGGGGTCAGCTAATGGTGACAGACCTCTGAGGACAGCAATGATTGTGAAACTTTTGCAAGGGTTAAAAACACCATTTGTTTCCATGCAGTGGATATCTCATTCTGGCTGGGATAATTCAAGCAGCTAAACAATGAAGCAGCAGAAAGTCTGGGACCAAAAGTAAGGGACAAAGAGGAAAGGGGAGGAAGAACTGATAAAAATAGGCTGTCTAGGAAGATTTGGAATATAGGCTATATACAGAAAAAAACCAAGCACCTTTATTATCTTGGCATCATCAGCAATAAATGGAGCATGGAAAGGCAAAAGAACACAATCAATCATGTAGAAAAAACATAAAAATATCAGGGGTGATCAATCTTGTAAGAGGTTTTTTTTTTTTTTTTTGCAGAACATTTAAAATGGGATATGAGCATAAGCTGAAAAAGTTTTCTTCAATCTAAGGTGTAACTTTCTCTAAGCGGAGAGTGGGACGAAGATAAATCATGTATTAAGACGCAAAGTCCATATAGCTTATTATAACAGAAGAAAATTAAAAATTGCACACAAACTGCAGTTAGAAAAGAAATAAAATCCAAAGACCTTTAGATGAAACCCTATGAAAGCTCCCAGTAGGCATAGGATTAAATCTCTGTTGTTTTTTTTTTTAACTTCTGCACATTTGTATTTCTTTTGGTTTGTGTTTATATTTAGAGTAAACATCATTCAGTCAAATATATTTCAGTATCATCAGGTGGGAAAAAAAGGGAAAAATTTTTTATTCCACCTTGAAAAATGTCAGTGGTCTTTCCTTGGTGCATAAAAAATACTCCAGTTTCTCACACTCCCTTTTTTTTCCCTGKTTTTTTTCCTGCTAATTCTGGAAAGATCTATCACAAGCTTTAGACAAACTGTAAAGGTAAGAGCTTAGAGATACTGTGACAAATTACTATAACAAAACATTTCATAAAACTGTTCCCTGACAGCTGAAAACACATAAAGCTTTGTCTTCACAGGGAAAAAAAATTGTTGTTGTTGCTATGTCTTAGCTAACAGCAGTAAATGCAATGTAGTGAAATCTTATTCTACAAAACAACTACACATATTAAATCTGAGCTGCCTTATGCAAACCCTAGTACACCATCCCATTGCACAGGTGATGTCCTGCTAGCACATGCAACAGCTGCAAAATATTTCAAGAAGTTTTTACCATGTGTCACAGCTCACCTAATTCCTTAACACATGTTAAGAGAGCTACAAATAAAGAAAATAAATGTACCTTGTGTTGTTAATACACAGCTCCACCAAAGCACCTGTCACTCACGTACAGCATCCACTGCGTGGTAGCGGATCATGTGCAAGGTATTTTCTGCTAAAATCAATTGTTCTGCGAAGTCTTACCTGTGTGTGAAGCTATTTTTCGTCGACTTGGAGGCTTTGAAGCAGAAAGTTGAAAAAATGGGAACTTCAAACACTTCCCTGTTACTCTGTCACAGATGCCAGAAGGACAGTTGCAGGTTTTCCTGCATTCCATTCCATAGCTACCATAGGGACACTCTGGAAAAAAAAATACAGCAAAGGAGTTCTCAGTGAACTGAGTCAGCTGCTGTCTCAATAGCTAGTCTGCTTGTATGCTTGAAAGTGGAAAGTCTTTGAGTGGAGGTCAGCTACACCTTAGCTACACAATTTCAGCATACTGGCTGCTTTTTACAAGTATTTCAGAGTATTAACAAACCTTGACACACGTTACACACAAAATTTCATTTCCTGTAACTTATTTACAATGGGTTAACAGTAATCCTTCTCTGAAACATTCTTAATAAGTGCACTCTTAGATAAAATTGTCTTAATTAAAGGCTGTATGAATATGTAAGTATGCAATTACAGAAGGTTTAGTTAAAGGACTAGCATTGAATTTAGAAAAGCAGATGACTTCATAAATTCCCTGAATTCACTATGTGATTCACTATGATACTATCTGACTTTCACGACAGTCGTGATTCAGAGCTGCAATCTGATGCTGGTGTGGGGCTGCTGTGGCCATGGCCAGCGCTCTGGGTGGCTGATGAAGCCCAACCGTAAGGAGCTATCCATCAAATGCACCCTCCACCTGGAGATGTTATTGGGTCCTGGGGAGGAGCCTTCCACCCAACACCTTCCCAAACTGCAAAGTTCCAGCTCAGCTGGATCTCCAGCCTAAAGACTGAGTGTGCTCTGAAGGGATTTCTGGCACTAAGGCGACTGTCTGGTTGTACTGCATCAGATCACATAATGCCCCAATTCAAACCTCACATCCCTGGGCAAGCTTGTGGGAAGCATTAAAGAGCAGCTGCTAGGATAGGACCAAAAGTTTTCCCAAGAAAATTAAGTCAGGTCAGGAGATTTGTCCTATCCCATAGCTGACACATATCACATATGGGATCACATAACTTCCCAGAGTGTTTAAACTAGAAGCTACAGCCCTTGTCCTCCTCTGCCTTGCTATTGAGCAGGATCTCAAATCCACGTTCTTAAATCCACGTTCTTAAATCCATTGTTAAAGAGATGGAGACCAGGAACGCCCATGTCCAACATATCCTTTTCATGTGCTGTAAAGCAGGAGATCATTCCAGGAGAAGTTTGAGATATCCTGGTAGAAAGGCCTTTATGTTGAGACTGTCCTTGCCAATGCAGGGTGCGTGGTCACCTTAAATGGCAAGGCCTGCAGAGGTTCTGATTCACCTTCTAAGGGCAGATGAACAATTTTCAGGGCTGAACCAAAGAACAATCTAGGCCAGACTTCCACAAAACCCTTCAGAAAGGTGACCTTAGTAAGCACAAACTATACCTCCCTCTTTATTTTGTCTCTCCTCTTCAGCTATAGGATCTCCTGATCCAAACATAGTTTCTGTGCACGTTACACCCCACAAGAGAATGATCCTTCTCAGTTTGTCCCGTCTCCTCTTGAATCAGTGCAAATGTTTAGCTTTGCCATTCAGCCTAGGTAATATGAAAATCAAGCTAATGGACAAAAGTGAAGCCAGTATTTTACAAGTCTCTTCATATCAAATGGATATGCTCTTACAAATGAAAAACCYTAGGAAATCATCCAGTTCCCTGAAAAGGAATGCACAGAGAGTCACTCCAGGATGGAGAATCTCATTAGGTTTCACCACACTCCCATTCCCAAGATGGACACTCTTTGACCTGTTGCTTGTCTGTATAAAACAAAAACAAAATCCTGCCCAAGTGAAAAAATATTTGAGTGCACAACCTCCCTGGGAGACAAACAAATAACATACATTACATGGAGCATCAGTCTGCCTGCTAGAGGTGCTCAGCCTGGAGAGATGGGATGCAAAGCTGTGCACAACAGCACAGAAAAAAGACTGAGCCCAAAGCACTTGGCTCTGTGTGGAATATTCCTGGCATTGATATGGCTCTTCAGATTTCATGAAACAGATCTGAGTCAACACTTCTTTTAGAAGGTTTTGGTTCAACAGGATTCTGCTCCTACCTAAATTGCAGATAGCTCCCAGTGATTTACTGGAAGCAAGGGCGCCAAAATGTAGTCTATTTTGGACAATAATGACATTGCTTCTGATAATAATATGATGCATTCCTCTAATAATAAAAACACCTCCAAAAATTGTTCTGCTCTGGAACATATATTGTCCATTTTAGAAATAAGAAATTGAAGCACAAAGAGTTCAGGTCATTTTTCCAGAACTTCAAAGTAAATCAGTAACAGGAAGCCAGAGAGAATTTGGCCATCCTTCATCTGTCAGTTATTACAAACATGGAAGTTATTAAAATGAGTGAGTGACCTGATATCATAGCTGTAAATTAATATATGAAATAACAATATCTGGCCCTATACTTTGCCTAAGAAAATTCACATACATACAGAGAGAAATTGTGCTATATCATAGTTGAGATGAAAAAAGAAAAATAATTGAAAATTGCATCCATAATATTTAGTGCCAATAAAAATATGGGGAATAGAAGCTTTAAACACCAATTTACAGTTGCAAGTAAGATATGGCTTTATTGAAATTAATGAGATGTTTTCCACTGACTGATTGAGAAAAAGCCCCAAACATTTTACTTCTCATTTTCTACAGAGCATCCAAGATTCAGCTATGGGGATTCAGATCTCATGTCCCAAAATATTTTTTTTTCCCATTCAAAGTGTGTTATTGCAAAGAAACTCCTATGAGGAAAGTGAAAAAGTACATACTAATTCAAAAGAATTGTTAATAGAATAGGGAGTATCTTGCACTGTGGTAATTTTTAATAAACTGGAGGTCAGTCAATTATCTCAGTAAAATATTCTTCTGGTGAGTTCACCAAAGATAAAATCTTTATGTATGGGTTCTACTATTTTGCAATAAAAGTACCATATTGGATTTCACACTCAGCCAYGCACGCAAGTTTCTTTAAATAAGGTAAATAAGTGTGTGCTGTATGTGAATCAGCCTGGATGATTTTTGCAGTTTCTGGTCCTAAGTCATTGCTTTAACTGAGTCTATTAATACCCCTGATATTTAACTGCCAAGATATCCCCACTTTTAAAGAAGTTGTTCTAAGGCTTATCTGTATGTACTTTCTGAAGTGGTACACAAACTCAGGAAAATTCACTGCATTAATGCTTCGCAAAGTCTTTTTTAAAAATAGTTAATTTTTAAAGAAATTCATTCTACTTCTTACAAATATTATACCTTCTCACCTTTTAAAGATTCCCCTGTTTACATGGAGTGAGAATAGCTCACAAATGAAAAATGCCATTATAGCCTCTGCCTGAAGAAATCAGAATGCAATATAACTGGAGTAAGCTGAAAGCAGTGCCTGGCTGCTCATCTCAGAGCCAGTTTCTGTTCTGTTACTCCCATTTTTCAGGCAGGGGAGTTTCTGTTTGCCTCCCCTGACCACATTCCTAGGATAGGTGAGCAGCTCAAAGACAGGACTAAATTAAACAGGACAAAGTCTCCAGGTACTCAAGCAAAATTGCTTTTTCCATCTCCCTGACCCCAGAGTGARCACCTGCTCCCTGGGCAGGCACCCGGCAGTGTCAGAGGGAGCATCACCCCCAGGAAAGTGCAGCAATGACAGAGACCTGTGACAAGGTTGGGTTTTCAGGATTAAAGTCTTTATAATTTATAGAAAGCCACCCACCAAATCAGCCAAAAGAACAAGGCTGGGTCTCCCAAACCCCACTCAAAAATCTCATCACCAAGCACGCTGTATTTCCTCACATATGTCCCCAGGCGTGATATTAATATTGTCATATTAATCACCCCGCCCTACTACATGTAACACCTTCTAATGACAGCAGGTATTTTTTTCCCTTATTTTTTGTGCTAGGGTTGACCTAGCACAAAACGGGAAAAACCCCGTTTTAGACCCTTGTGCATGTAGGTTGATACCAGATTGCCACAGTGGATACATACAATGAATATCATTACCTTTGCAGATACCAAATTCATCACCAAAGTCATCCTCCTCAGTGTAAAACTGGCACTTCAGCCCGGGACCACACTTGACACCATCCATGCCCGAGACAGTCCGATAGCAAGTCTCCCCCAGAGCGGCTGCACACACCCTGCAGCAGCCACAGTCATCCAGCACCGTTCTCTTGCAGCGCGCAGTACTTTTGCATGCATTGCTGTCACAGGGCTCAGGGCAATCTACTGCGTATTTGGCGCTCCAAGCAGCTCCAGCGRGCACGGGCATCAGGAGGAGTGTGAGGAACAGGAAGCCCTTCATGTCTTGCAGGGGTAAATTCTCCATGCCACAGAGCAGGTCTCAGTGCTCAGCCTGCTGGTGCTTCTTGCCGAGGGAAGCGGCGGTACGGAATCCAAAGTGGTAGCTGCACACATCAGCCTACAAGTTTATGGGCTTTATACAGTGTGTTGCCCACATGTTGCAGCGTCGTCAGCTTCCTCAATCCGGCAGCGCTGCTCCTGCCAGCCTCCCTTGTTTCAGTTTATGAAATCCAGGATGAAGGTTGGATTAGCACTCTGCTGCCATCCAGGAATTGAAAAGCCTGAGCTGATGTAATCTGTTATGTTTAGTTGGTTGTTTTGCATGAGGACTAAAAACTCTCTCACATCCGTTTCAAATGCTCAAGGACGTGGGGTTTAAATGACCTGTAATATGGCGTAATTCCCCTGGAACAGGAGAAACAGCTGAGGAAAATTTCTAAAAAAAAACCAAAAAAAAAAAAAAAAAAAACCCAAAAAAAAAAAAACAATCAACCCTGAGGAGTTGCATACCTTCCTGCAGGACAGGGATCGCTCTGACGCTGAGCACGCTGCTGACAGGAGAGCACTGCCTTGCTATCACGGCTTGTACGGCCAGAAGAAAATCTCAGTGAATCATCTTACTGCCGAAAGAATAATCTTTAATGGAATAAATCTTTGCCATACTCTTTTAGGGGATGTGGACAGTTATTTTGAGGAATTAAGTGAGAGCATGTCGTTTAACAGCCAAGCTCAGATTTTTCAGTAGTTTTTTTTCTGCCAGCATTGAAATAGTACTTTTCAATCAGTGTTTAAGCGGAAGTGAATTAAACATTTCACTCAAAGATTGCTGCTACAACTAAAAACTAGTCAGACAAAACCCAGCATTTTTCGGGTTCTTCCACAGGAAGTTCAGGAGAATGAGCAATGAGCTGCCCCAACTTTACTACTAAAGGGAAATCCCCATCCATCATCAGCACTGTCTGCACAGCCTTAACACAGATCCAGGGGGCTGCTTCTCCTCCTCTTTACACCACTTCTATTCTGATTAACTCTATGGGATGCTCTGATATTGCTCTTCAATGAAATCAATGTAAATAAACAGAAAACAAATCTCAATTTCCCTTGTCTCCCCTCTTAGACTTTGTTTATCCTGCCAGAGCCTTGACAAGAAACAGCAAACAAGTGAAGGATCCAGTGAAACTGATGAGGCACTGGAGAAATGAAAATTTCTGTATGAAAAAAAATCTACAGGAGAGGAAAAAGGAATAATGCTAGCCATCAATAAACCCCTGAATACCAAAAGTTGTTGCCAAGGAAGTTTGTGGGAACTGAAGCAAACTGAACTGTGTGTGACCAGCTTGTCACTTGGCAATCCTGTGTCTCAAGTGGGCTAAGGACACTGCCAGTACACTGCTAAATAAAATGAAGAACTAGGCTAGAAATACAGGGGAGCAGGAAAGCCCTTTTTTTGCTAATACAAATTGGAATTTATATACAAAACCAAAATGCTTAACCCTTGTGTCTTGTGAAGAAGATGAGAAAAACCAAGACACTTTATGTTGTGTTTGGGTAAGTTGTTCATATAATTCTGGTATATGTGGGTGTAAGTATGGGGAGGGG